CAGGTGAGAGGTCACAGGGTCAGAGCTGAACACAGGTGAGAGGTCACAGGGTCAGAGCTGAGCACAGGTGAGAGGTCACAGGGTCAGAGCTGAACACAGGTGAGAGGTCACACAAGGTCAGAACTATACACAGGTGAGAGGTCACAGGGTCAGAGCTGAACACAGGTGAGAGGTCACACAAGGTCAGAACTATACACAGGTGAGAGGTCACACAAGGTCAGAACTAAACACAGGTGAGAGGTCACAGGGTCAGAACTGAACACAGGTGAGAGTCACACAAGGTCAGAACTATACACAGGTGAGAGGTCACACAAGGTCAGAACTAAACACAGGTGAGAGGTCACAGGGTCAGAACTGAACACAGGTGAGAGGTCACAGGGTCAGAGCTGAACACAGGTGAGAGGTCACAGGGTCAGAACTGTGAACATGTCTGTCTTCTACAATTTACAAGAAAAAGGTCATTATGTAAAAAAAAAAAAAAAACCCTCCTTATATGATTTGTATTTATAGGAGCCTGTGTATTCATGCATCTTTTACAGCTCAGTCAAAGCTGTCGGATACGTCCCAACACTTCAGCAGAGAGATGCCGTGTGATCGTGCGTCTGACATCTGATGATGTTTTTTAATTCTGAATTCCAAACCTTGAACGTCTGTCTGCTGCTTCAACAATGAAAGAAGCTGCAGAGTCCACGTCTTTATTTCCTCGACGTCAGTGTCTCTGTGTCGTCTGATTTCTGAAAACACAGCTCGTGTCTCTTATGGATTAGGGCGATGTCATTTATAAACACGCTGCAGCTTCAAGTCTAAAGCCTCTGGACGCCATCATCGCTCCACCCTCAGGTTTATTTTTTATTTTTTCTTAGATTTTTTTTTATTTTATTATTATTTATTTAATTAAAAAAAAAATTGTGATTATTTATTTTTTATTTTTTAAAGATTTTTTTAATTTTTTTATTTTTATTTGGGGGGGCTTTTTGTGCCTCTATTGGAGAGACAGGACAGTGGAGCCGGAAACCAGGGAGAGAGACAGAGTGGGGAATGACATGCGAGAAAGGAGCCAGAGGTGGGATTTGAACCTGGGCTGCGCGCTTCGAGCACTACAGCCTCCATACATGGGGCTCGCGCACTAACCACTGTGCCACCAGCGCCCCCGCCCTCAGGTATATAGCTGCTGATCGATTCGGCCCTCATCACTGTGAGCTGAAGGTCGGTCGGCCTTCTAATGAAGAGACGAGCTACAAATATTGCCTCGTTCTTAAACCCCCTCGAGCACACTGAACTGAACTCTGTAAATCTAAATCTACATTTTCTCCTGATGCTCCAAACTCATAAAACGCCCTCCAGCAAACTCTAAGGATCAGAGTTCTTCCCTCTCTCGCAGATTTTAGGAGTTTGATTTCTAGCCGCTTTCTTTTTGACTGTTTTAATGGTCTCAGTGGATTTTGTAATCGATTTCAGTTCGATTCAAGTGTTTTCTTGTTTTACTGTGCTTGTAATCTCGACGGCATTGGAAAAAAGGGGAAACCTTGGTGTCCTTTTGAGAATTAAAAAAAAGGTTTGAATTGAATGAACAAACTGGTGAATTACATCGACCATGAGAATTCCTGAACCGCTCTCTGGATGTGACACATTTACAAAAAGTCTAAATGGTAACATCTCCCACCTCTCTCTGGCTCCTTGCGGGCTGTAAAACTATTATTCCCACGCTCACCACATGAAGCCATGTGTGTGACTTTAAGGGCATATCTGCCTGCAGAGCAAACACTGGATACCTCTGCCACCTCCGCAGGGACGTCAAGAGTAATGAAAGAATGCAAGTTCAGCCAACAAACTGAATCTACACTCTCAGTTTGTCCTGCACAGCGTGTCCTGGAGACCTCTGCAACAAACGTTTGCATTTCTACAGAAAATGTGATGAATTATACATCTGTTGTTTGAAATAAAAAAATCCCATCTGTTGGCTCAGAAACACAGAAAAGACCTCAACTCACCTCTGCAGCAAAAATGACTAATGTGCTTTGCACCTGTGCATCTATTGTCTGTCAGTGGGGGAACAATGCTGTTATTAGCTGAGCTAAAGGGTGGGGGCGGGGGGGGAATAGAAGACTCACCTTCCCCGGTCGGAAAAACACTCTGGTGAGGCCGAACTTGTAGTCGTTCTCGTTCAGTCCCAGAGCTTTGAACAAAGCCTGCAACACAAACACCAAGGATGCTGATTTAAATCAAACTGCACTTTTATCAGAGTTGATGATGAAAGGTTGGACCGAGGCCTTGGGGGGGGGGGGGCGACGGACCTTGCAGAAGAGACGCGGGTCGAGGCGGCAGAGTTTGGGCGGCATGTACTGTTGGTACATGTTGTAGAGCTCGTGGAAGGGAGCTCTGGAGGGGAAGCCGCCCTGCATCAGGTCCAGCACGGACACCATACCTACAGACGCGGGTAAAAGAAGAGGTGAGGTTAATTTAAAGGAGCAGTATGTAACTCTGACACATAGTGGTTAAAATGGGTACTGCAGTCTAAATTCAGCTGCAGCCCTGAAGTCTCTGGTTGTATCTGCAGAAAAGCTGAGGAGCAAGTTTAAACATCCAAACTCAAATTTTACATCATGGAAGTCACTTGAACTCTGACCCCTAGTGTTTAAACATGGGTACTGCAGTCTAAATTCTAATCATTGTAGAGAGCTGTCCCCCCCCCCCCCCCTCTCTAGAGTGAATGCTCACACAGGTCACCATGTGGTGGACTCTGAAGCTTCAGTGTTTATCCAGCTCTGCATGGGTCTGTAAACCTTTCTGTGTTCTAACCTCTCTCCATTTTTCAAAAGCATCTCCAATATTGATCCTAGTTTGAGCACGTTTCTGCTCGTGGAGCTTATTAGAAACATGCAGAGGCTTTTTAGGTCGGGTACAATCACTTCTATCTGAACCACTTCTCTTGCCCGCTTCCATCGCTGCAACACCTGTTGACCTGATAACTGCTCTCATATCTGGGAAACCGAGGGGCGTCCAAAACGAGCCCTTAAAAGCGCCTACCTTCTCTGGTCCAAACAAATCCAGAGCATTCAGGATTGGGAAAGGTCACTTTATAATTTCAGAAGTTTTGGACTTGAGCCCACACTTTATTTTTTGAGCGCCATGTTCTTCATATCAAGTGGAAAACGGGGGGAGGGGAGGGGGGGGTGGCGTCCTAGAATTTGTGATCAGTGTTTAAAAATATATCCAGTAGATCAGCTCTGTTTGTCTCCAGCTGTCTGTCAAACTGCAGCAGGATGAGGGCTAATTTAGTTCTGTTTTGACCTGATAACTGCTCTCATATCTGGCAAACCGAGGGGCTTCCAAAACGGCCGTGTGGGGTGGTCGCCTTAAAAACCGCCTACCTTCTCTGGTCCAAACAAATCCAGAGCATTCAGGAGCAGAATCTAAAGTTAGAAGGAGGACATACTGACTGCTGCATTGTTGTCAGAGAAGCCAGCACTTCAACATAGCATGTTTCCTTAATGATCAGATAGTAAGATACCTTTATCATTTACCTCTCTACACATCTCACTGATTGGACCTTTAAAACGTAATATTGTATTTTTAGTGGAAACTGTTTTAAAGCCACTTCACAGCAGCTTGCAGGCTGATTGGCATCATCCGTCCTCTGTGTTATGTTCTCGCGCGTCAGACTTTTTGACCCTTTTCCTTTTTTTTTTTTTTCATTGCGCATTCTGTTTTTTTTCTCATGACTTTGATAACCGTTTCCCCCCTGACACTCTGAATTAATTTGTTTGCACGGACCCCCCTCTGTAAGTGTGGATGATTTGGCCTCGTTAGAAGTATTGTTTTTGCATCTCGTTCAGCTTTGAAAAGCTCAAATCAAAGGGGCCAATTTTTCATAGCAGGCAGATGCTGCTAATTAGCATTCAGTGCAAATGAACCGTTTTTCTCTGCAGAGATTGTTACTGTCATCAAGTGACTTCAGAGGTCCTATTTTTTTTTCATCAGTTGGTTTTATGTTATTTTGCAAACACCAGAAACTACATCATGTATTTATGTCCTACAGAATTAAGAAGCCTTTAGAGTCACAGAGTGTGGGGGGGGAGAAATAGTGTGAAGGAGGGTCCCAACTTCCTTAATACAGCAATCAAGGAACAACTATCAATTTGATGAATTTGATGTTGTTTTTGGCAGCTCGATTTTGATGCTTTAACGCTCTGAAGAAGCTACAAAATCCCTGAAAATGTTCTCTATGCTGACGACAACATGCTGTTTGTTTCAAAGTGAAAACACTATGCTGACGACAACATGCTGTTTGTTTCAAAGTGAAAACACTATGCTGACAACAACATGCTGTTTGTTTCTAAGTCAAAGCGCGGGCAGGTTTAGAGCAGCTGTAAGCAAAGTCCCTGAAGTGTTTGATTCAAGAGGTGAGTTATTCTGGTGAGGGGGTTCACCACTCTGTGAAAGACTGACCCAGAACTTCCACAAGAAATGTGAGCATTGGGTTTTTTCTTCGCTCCGTTATGACTCATTGGGGGGTTTGTAGACAGAATAGACACATCATTGAGTCAGAGAATGGTGAAATAGATTTTGCATCATATGTGACCTTTAAACTTTGTTGCTGAAAAGGCTCCAAAGATTTCCCTCCATGTTGCACCCACCCAGCTTTCTACTTCCTGTCTGGTCTGATTTAAGTCTGAGTTTTAAACCACATCAGCTGATCAGAAAACCTTCAAAACATCTTAAATCTAGCCGAACGTTGGCTTATTTTCCCTCCTCCTTCATACAGACAGAACCTCAGTTAAAAGTGTTCTCTTGTTGGTTGAGATAAGAAGCTAAATAAGAGGATGAATGGAGTTATTAGAATCTAACCTCTCAGTGCATTTCAAAGTGTTGCAGCAGATTTTATGAGCCGAGCAGACTCTACATACGGTGTGAAGAGGAAGAGCACTCTGAAATCCACTGAATATTACAACTCTTTCTCAGTCTTTGGCTCATGATAAATATGAAAATGTAAAGTTCCTCTTGTGTATTCAGATAAAGATGAAACTCTGATTGTCGGCCCCCGAGCTGCACTAATCTCATAACACACTGATTGTAATTTCTCGACGGTTTCCCAAAGGACACGGTGAAAAGATAAAACCTTTTTCTGTCACCTCACCTGCAGATATATTCCTCAACAATTGCATCAAAGTGTGTGTGTGTTTGGCCGAGTCGGCACTTAAACCAGATCCAGACTTTTGATTAAAAAGAACCTGAAGCTTGGCTGTGAGAAGTATTCCATTTATTCTAAGTGGGTCATGTGCAGCAGAGTTTTCTCCCTCACTGGTTAAAAAGTCTTCTGACTAACAAGCTCTCACACAGCTTCAGTATGTCACTGATTGAGTAAAGCCCACTAAGCCTCTCTGTTCTGCTCAGACGAACGAGCTAAAAGGTCCCCGAACCAGGACTCTTAAAAAAAATCACATCTGGATTTCTGCTGTCCAAACTTTGGTGGAAAACTTCCAAAATATCACAATTTATTTATCAGACACTTTCATTAAAAGAACATCAGAGAGTAAGAACAAAACAAGCAAGGATCTAGCTGATAGGAAGTCACCAGAGGTGTTGATAGGAAGTGACCAGAGGTGTTGACAGGAAGTGACCAGAGACAGAGCACAGGTGCTGACAGGAAGTGACCACAGGTGTAGACAGGAAGTGACCAGAGGCAGAGCACAGGTGCTGACAGGAAGTGACCAGAGGCAGAGCACACGTGCTGACAGGAAGTGACCAGAGGCAGAGCACGGTGCTGACAGGAAGTGACCAGAGGCAGAGCACACGTGCTGACAGGAAGTGACCAGAGGCAGAGCACGGTGCTGACAGGAAGTGACCAGAGGCAGAGCACGGTGCTGACAGGAAGTGACCAGAGGCAGAGCACACGTGCTGACAGGAAGTGACCAGAGGCAGAGCACGGTGCTGACAGGAAGTGACCACAGGTGTAGACAGGAAGTGACCAGAGGCAGAGCACAGGTGCTGACAGGAAGTGACCAGAGACAGAGCACACGTGCTGACAGGAAGTGACCAGAGGCAGAGCACACGTGCTGACAGGAAGTGACAAGAGGTGTTGATAGGAAGTGACCAGAGGTGTTGACAGGAAGTGACCAGAGACAGAGCACAGGTGCTGACAGGAAGTGACCACAGGTGTAGACAGGAAGTGACCAGAGGTGTTGATAGGAAGTCACCAGAGGCAGAGCACAGGTGCTGACAGGAAGTGACCAGAGGTGTAGACAGGAAGTGACCAGAGGCAGAGCACAGGTGCTGACAGGAAGTGACCAGAGACAGAGCACACGTGCTGACAGGAAGTGACCAGAGGCAGAGCACACGTGCTGACAGGAAGTGACAAGAGGTGTTGATAGGAAGTGACCAGAGGTGTTGACAGGAAGTGACCAGAGACAGAGCACAGGTGCTGACAGGAAGTGACCACAGGTGTAGACAGGAAGTGACCAGAGGTGTTGATAGGAAGTCACCAGAGGCAGAGCACGGTGCTGACAGGAAGTGACCAGAGGCAGAGCACGGTGCTGACAGGAAGTGACCAGAGGCAGAGCACGGTGCTGACAGGAAGTGACCAGAGGCAGAACACAGGTGCTGACAGGAAGTGACCAGAGGCAGAGCACACGTGCTGACAGGAAGTGACCAGAGGCAGAACACGGTGCTGACAGGAAGTGACCAGAGGCAGAGCACACGTGCTGACAGGAAGTGACCAGAGGCAGAGCACGGTGCTGACAGGAAGTGACCAGAGGCAGAGCACAGGTGCTGACAGGAAGTGACCAGAGGCAGAGCACAGGTGCTGACAGGAAGTGACCAGAGGCAGAGCACGGTGCTGACAGGAAGTGACCAGAGGCAGAGCACAGGTGCTGACAGGAAGTGACCAGAGGCAGAGCACACGTGCTGACAGGAAGTGACCAGAGGCAGAACACGGTGCTGACAGGAAGTGACCAGAGGCAGAGCACACGTGCTGACAGGAAGTGACCAGAGGCAGAGCACGGTGCTGACAGGAAGTGACCAGAGGCAGAGCACAGGTGCTGACAGGAAGTGACCAGAGGCAGAGCACACGTGCTGACAGGAAGTGACCAGAGGCAGAGCACAGGTGCTGACAGGAAGTGACCAGAGGCAGAGCACGGTGCTGACAGGAAGTGACCAGAGGCAGAGCACAGGTGCTGACAGGAAGTGACCAGAGGCAGAGCACAGGTGCTGACAGGAAGTGACCAGAGGCAGAGCACAGGTGCTGACAGGAAGTGACCAGAGGCAGAGCACGGTGCTGACAGGAAGTGACCAGAGGCAGAGCACGGTGCTGACAGGAAGTGACCACAGGTGTAGACAGGAAGTGACCAGAGGCAGAGCACAGGTGCTGACAGGAAGTGACCAGAGACAGAGCACACGTGCTGACAGGAAGTGACCAGAGGCAGAGCACAGGTGCTGACAGGAAGTGACCAGAGGCAGAGCACGGTGCTGACAGGAAGTGACCAGAGGCAGAGCACGGTGCTGACAGGAAGTGACCAGAGGCAGAGCACGGTGCTGACAGGAACCCTGTTGTGAAGGTTTGATCAGACGCCTTTCATTGGCAGAGCGCAGTGGGCAGGAGAGTAGATCTATCACTGGTTTAAAGACGTTTGATTTTCGTTTTAAACATTTATCAGATTTTAACAACCAGATCCATCCAAACCAAGACAATAAAAACACACCGAGACGTTTTGAAAGAGCAGGATGGTAGAATACTGAAACACCTTCAGATCAACAGGGACGGAAAAGATTCAAGAAATCGAGGAATAAAAGAATGAACAGTGAAAGATAAAATCAGTAGGACCATTGTGTCTCTCCTCAGCCGGTGATTACAATTATTCTTAATGTGGTTATTAATTAAATCTGATGAGGTCTGAACCCTGAACGGATTAAACAGATCAAAATGATTTGAATCGTTTAAGCTCATTTGGTTTTTCACAGGGTTTGACTCTGTCACATTCAGATCTGATGATGTCGACTGAACAGAGACGATCGACAGCTTCATGAAAAGTGTGGAAAACATCGACATAAAGCTTTACCTTCAGAGAGTGAGGGAGATGTATGAAACAGCTCAAACTGTTTATTATAAACGCATAAAGACGAGAGCCGGGATCCAGACTCTAGTCGTGTAGACCTCAAAATCTGTCTTGGTCTTGAGACCACTATTTGAAGGTCTCGGTCTCGGTCTCAGAATCGAAGCATTTTTGCTCGTCTTGGTCTCAGACGCTCTGGACGGACTCTGGATTTTAAATCAAGACCACCACCCCAGAAGAGTCAACAAAAGTTTTGGCATTCCATTTTTTTATGCTTTGGCTGCCCTCCTTTCCCTGGATCAGCAAAAACGGCAACGCTTCAAAAGACTCCAAATGTTTATCAACCAAAATCAAAACTCTGATCCAGCAGACAAGTCAGGTAAAGCCTGTGATGACTCATTCTAACCGCTTAGCAGGAAAATCTCCAAACGGCTTGTTTGGTCACAGATTTGGTCGAATCAATCATTCATTGCGAGCTACCACGACTTTTATACCCACTAAACATTACTCCTTACATGGTGGATCTGAGGGGTGGACAGTCAGCAGCGTGAGGCTAACTTTGAGACAGAAATGGACTTCCTGGTTCAGTCCTGTACTCACCGGAGCACTGCAGCTGGGAGAGAATCTGAGCCCCTTCAAACTGGTGGCTGATCATCTTCAGGTTGGGTTTGATGCAGCGGATGAAGCTGGAGCCCTGCAGGAGAGAAAACACACAAAGAGACAGAGAGAAACCATTACAGTAAACAGCCAATCAGACATTCATGACTTCTATGACAGTGTGAGTCGGGTCGTGATGTGCTTCTCAAGGGGAGGGGGGGGGGACACTGACCGTGCTGCGCAGCTTCTCCAGGAGGATGTTCAGCTGAGTCTGCAGGAGAAGAAGAAGAGAACATGTGTCAGTGTTTAAAATCTGAAGGGTGGAACCAATGAGCGTCTACATGATGCTCTCAGGAAACCACTTCTGTAGAGACTGTCAGGGGCCATTTTAATCTACAATTCACTGAGCAGACTCTTTTCTCCAAAGCGACGTACATCAGAGAGTAAGAACAACACAAGCAAGGATCTAGAAAAAAGGGAACAATGTGAGTAAGAGCAAACGATCAGCTTTGAGTCTGATTGGACACTCAGGTGCTGACAGGAAGTGACCAGAGGCAAAGCACAACATTGAGGGCAGTTCTTGAGAGCTCTAATCAGTATAGAAACCATCTTATAAGTCGTCGTTATCAAACAAAAACCATCGTCATTACCATCATCATCATCAATAATATGGAGACCATCATCATTAAGTTAGTAGGTATTCATGAAAGAGCTGGGTCTTTAGCTTTTTCTTAAAGGTGCAGACTCTGGACTCTCCTGGAGCAGAGTGCCGCCCTCTCATTGGTTTATCGTATTAATGTCTGAAACAGGATGCAACAGATTCATGGGAGCGTGTCGAGCTTCAGGTGAAGACGCTGCTGAGGTGGACGAGTGAGGACGTTTTATGAGCAGGACGCCTCGGCCTCTGCAGGCTGAGATCGGTCAGACAGGATTCATTCCTTAAATGTGTCTGATGAGCAACATTTTTATAAATCTGTATCATCAACAGCTTTAACTTCAGGAAAGACACAAAGTTTTCATTCAGAGCGTTTGTTTGACAGCTTCATCGCTCCTGTCAGGTGGAGTTTCTGTTGAGGTTTCATTTTTTGTAATTTTTCACCTTCACATTTATTTAAAGGCTTCATATGTGATTTTTTGATCCAGCAGATGTCGCCCTTGAGCACCAGCATGAAACCAAAACAACTCGCGCTGCATTGTTGTGTTAGCATGCTAATGCTAGCGATCTTTATTCTGCTGGTATCTTCACACTGCATGTAAATTGACCTGAAATGAGCGTGATCTAGAAACACAGTTAAGCAGTGAGTACAGTATGTTATTCTTCTTTTCTCTAGTCCCTCAATTAAACAACTTTTATACACGAGGGGAGGAGTCAGCCGGCCGTCCCGGCGATGTAAACAAACTGAAGATAGGACTCTGAAAACTCTGAAAACATCACAGACAGTGGGACTCGGGTGTTACACCCATTGTAGACAGTCATGACTCACAGAGTTATTTTCAGAGGAGATACTTGATTTCTACATTTGAGTGTGAAAAATTGCAGATAAAGCCTTTAAGAGAGTCGTATGTAACTGACCCCCTTGTGTTTAAAATGGGTACTGCAGTTTAAATTCCTAACATTGTAGATGAGATTCTGCAGACATGACGAGCACACACACAGAGAATGTAAATAAATGTAAACTAATCAGGGTCAGGAGTGGATCTGTGTGCTTCTGGCTGACGACTTGACACTGAAATAACGTTCCTTTAAAGAGAAACAGTCACAAAAGGATGCTACCTGTGCTGCTTTTTATTCAGACAACAGCTTCCTTTTGTACCCGCTCATGTGAGACCACATCTCAGAGGTCTCATCTGCTTTTTGTTTTTCACATTCAGGCTAACCAGGCGTGTTTCTGTCTGCTCTCTGAGAGGACGTCTTTGTTTTGTTGTGTTCACTCCCTGGATCGGGACAAAAAGCTTGAGATTGGAGTTATAATAAAAAACCCCACAGTCCCTCCACGGCTCTACACTCCCCTCTGTGACGCTCCAGACAGGACTCAGCGTCTCCCCTCACCTCGACTGACTCAGGATTTATCTCTGCTCATTTTCTCCCCCCGCCCTGAGCTCTGCTCCCGTCTGACTGTTTGGATCCTCTCTGCACCTTTTAGACTTTAATTATCGCTCGGATGGAGAGAGAGAGAGAGAGAGAGAGAGAGAGAGAGAGAGAGAGAGAGAGAGAGAGAGAGAGAGAGAGAGAGAGAGAGAGAGAGAGAGAGGGGACCCCTGAGGGAGCAGGATGAGGGGGATTTAAGAGAACACTAACAGGAACTAGAGCTCAGGGGTAATAAGAAGTCGGTCTACTCGGCTGAGAGTCCAAATCCCTAACCCCTGAGACCAGATCTGTTCCCCGATCCTCTCAAATAAGTGCTGAATGTTTCCACTGTCACAAACACCACAAGACTCAGAGGAGCAACACAGAAAAAGAGTGTCAGAACTCTGCAGTGAGGTGAGTTAGAGTGGAGGTGTTTCTATAGTTTATAACACAGCTCTGTGCTAAAGAGAAAACGACCTCCAGCGGCGTCCCCGTGCTTCAGGGGGCGTCAGGTGGATTTGAATGTCCTCATTGGTTGCAGCAGTATGAGGACCCCGTGTCCACCTTTTTTTCCGGGGCAGTAAAGCACTGGCTGTACGCTCCAGAGTGTCTGCATGAAGCGTTAGTGCTCTGAGAAGAAAAGCGCTGCAAGTCCGTCCGTCCTGTCTCCATGACAACAGTCTGCGCTTTTCATCCAGACGGTCGCTTTCTTATGGAATCATATTCGTGCCAAAAAAAACAAACAAAAATAAGACTTTGAGCGAGATTTAATCTTTCAGCTTTCTCGTTTCTGTCACAAACCTCTCGAGTGGGTGGGGCTTTGTGAGGAATGCGTCCCCATTGGCTAATGAGTTTTTGTGTGACAGCTCAATGCCCCCGGACGTTCCAGGAAGTCTTTTTACTGACAGACCTTGAGTGACATTATCTCTCTCAAAGTCTTCTTTTTGTTTGCAATTTAAAAAGTTTTGTTTGATCTTTTTGGCACAAACATGATTCCATACTTTCTGCTGCGAACGCTCTCTGAAAAAAGACGCTGGCGCTAAGAGAACAACACCAGGCCGGGCGCCACAGTACCGAGACAGGAACAGCCAAAGGGCTTCGGGTCTTAGCACTGCAAGCCTGTAGGGGGCGCTCAGTGGAACAGTTCCCTGTCTGTAGGTGCACATCCAAATGAAGTGGAAAAACCAGCATAGACCGGCCCAGTTCAAAGTTTAGAATCCAGTTCAAAGAGCGGCTCTTGATCCAGGATCTGACACCTCAGAGATAGACAGTGTCCACGTTCTCCCTCACATAGAAAACACGCATGAAAGGATCACATATCGGCACATCAAAGACTTCCTGTGAATCCCAGGAAATATTTCCTCGCAGCCCCGCTCCGCTCGCCATCATTCCCCCTCGGGTTATGTTCCTTTGTGATGGAGTGGAGCCCGGCGCTGTGGGTTTTTTTTTTGGCTCACCTTGCCTTTGGTTAGGTGACACATTGGAGCTTTTATCAAGGCGAGAGATGCTGAAGCGGCATGAGTCAGAGCGGAGGAGAGAAGAATCCTCCTCCATAACTTCAGCTGACGACAAAGAAGCTGCTCGCGCTGTGGGTCAGGACAAAGGAGCTTCGTCTGGACGCTCTTTGTGCTCGCATCAGAAGGAAATATAGCGGTTTAATACGTGTGAAAATGGTTAGTGCAGGTATTTTTAAACCTGAGCCCTTTTTGTTTTTGCATATTTTAGGTTTAACATGACAAACAGGTTCAACGCATTTTGGAAATGTTCCACGGGATCCCTTCAGTTGGCCACCGCAATATTCCCTTTGTGAATTAATCCAATCAAAGTACATCCTCTAACTTTCAAATTCCACATGAGAACTACAAGATCACGTGTGAATAAAGAGAAGAAGATGAAGAATGTACTGGAGGAATTTAAAAAAACGTTTTGCACCTTTAGACCCAAAAATATGCAGAAAATAAAACCAAGATTTACACACGATCCCCATTCAGGAGTACATCACATCGTACTTTAATGCATCTGCTTAGATTTTTGGCCGCTCTTCCTCTGAAGAAGCACATGTCGGCCATCTCTGTTGGGATGATGGTGAGTGCTGTCGGCTTCAGAGTCTGCCCGATCTATATTTGGTGAAGCGGCAGAAACCGAGGTCGGCTTCTTTTAAGGTGCTGCGTGAAGCACTTTTCTCGTCTCCTCCATAAATCACACGACCACCGACGTGGACATCTCGATAAGTCGGTGTCATCACTGCAGAGTTTGGCAGAGTTGTGGATCTGCTGTGACTTTGCAGAATGCAGATTTCCTGTCCTGTACTTTTTAATTTAGAGCTCTTCTGATTGTCTTGTTTTCTCTGTCACCTTAATGTCGACTTTCTTCCCCCCTCCCCCCCCCGTTGTGTTTCTCCCCCTCACCTTGAACTTGTTGCCGACGCTGATGAAGCCCAGCTTTCCCGCCTTCTGCTTCATGTCTTTGCTGTTGTTGGAGTTTTCGAAGAGCTCGCGGATGAAGCGGTCTTTGGACTCGCTGACCAGACACTCCAGAGACATGTGCAGGGCGTCGTTGTTCTTCTCCACAAACTTGGTCTGAGAGCGGGGGGGGAATATTACAGCGTTAGAAAACAAGTCTTGTCGGGTTTATTCTTTATGAGCTGTGCATGCAAAGACAAATATCATATTATAAACATCATGTGCTTCAGTGCTTTGTTGGAGTGGTCACTTGCTTTCATGTTAAAAAGCTCGACTCTCTTGAGTGTTTTTTTTTTTCATCCAATGATCAAAGAAAAAACTCAAACGACGGCTCCAGAGAGTGTTCAGTGAACGCACCGTCTCGTAGCACACGGCTCCTGCAAAGTGTCTGACGATAAATCCTTCATCATCCCTCACGTTCCTGTGGACTGCCAGCTTAGACTTCCTGGGTACCTGAGGGACACACACACACACACACACACACACACACACACACACACACACACCACACACACACACACACACACACACACACACCACACACACACACACACACACACACACACACACACACACACACACACACACACACACACACACACACACACACACACACACACACACACACACACACACCAGATGTTTAAAAGCCATCGATGTAAATCTGTCTCTAGGTTCTCTGGTCGTGTCTCAGGGCGACTCACGGTGAGGCGGAAGTGGTCCTTGTGCTTGTTGTGAACCGTGTCGGTAAAGTGCTGGTCGCTGGGTTGAGGTAGTCGGTTCTCTTCGTCCAGTATGTCCAGGATGCCGACCAGCTTGGCCTCCACCAGGTCTGTGAAGAGAAGTCATCAGAAAGAAAGCGTGATTAAAAATCCTCTCCCGTCTCCGAGCCGCTAATGAAGCTGCTGCGGATTACCTGAGGCCGAATGAAATCAACGAGAGGGAGACGATGTAGACCATTAAAAACCTAAATGAAAGTTTAATGGAATTGGCCGAGGTGCTGAGATTATAACTGATTCTCTCCGACCTGATTTCCCTCTGAAGGTGATCGGGTAACCTTCAGAGCCCCCCCACCCCGTTAGTGCTGCGTATCGTACACTGTAAAAGGTGAACGAGGGGTTTAACCCTCATGCATCACTATGGACATTTTTGTCCATTTGGTCAAATGTTTCCTCTTCATCTGGTCATCATTTGATCTGTTAGTGCATATGGAACACATTTTTTGTAAGAAAATGTCTCTCGACAAACTTTGGAATGCACATTTTAATGTTTTTTAATAGATCAATAGAACAGAGAAACATGTTTACTACCCTCTGAAGTCACTAAGGACAAAAACGTCCACTTGCAAAAAACTGATATAAAAATAGAACAGATTAATTTGTTTCTACTTTTTTCAGCATAAATCTCTTAAACAACTTCAGCCCTGCTCAAAACTACCAAACAATCAATCATCAAGGAATTTAACCCTTTAAATGCCAGTTTGATTACTTGATGTCACTGTTGTTATTTATAAAAAATTTAAATAAAAAAAAAAACACAACAATTTGTTATTTTCCATATAACAAATATTTGGTGGCTGGGGGATTTTTTTTAAATCAGTCTTGTGTTTAGTCAAATATTGAATAATTATCAGGATTTTAACCCTTTAAATGCCAGAATCATGTAATCAAACTGGCATTTAAAGGGTTGAATTCCTGAAAATGATTGAATGTTTGGTAGTTTTGAGCAGGGCTGAAGTTGTTTAAGAGATTTATGCAGAAAAAAGTAGAAACAAATATCAATCAGTTCTATTTTTAAAGCAGTTTTTTGGAAGTGGACATTTTGTCCTCTGGTAGTAAATTAAACTGATGCCTGAGGGTTAAATCCTTCACCGTGGTTTTTAAGAAAAGGACGATTTAAAGACTACAAACATTGGGATACAAACGCTGAAACTCCAGGGAGAGAACAGGAAAAGATTTGATGGTTTATTGTGGGAGGGAAAGCTGGCAGTTCATCCTGCAGATCGATGGAGAGCTTTAGTTAAAGTGCAGCTCAATTTGAGGACGTAATGAGCTTTCAGCCGCTGCTCGATGGAGCTCAGCTTCACATTTATGGAAACTGAAGAATTTAACACAAAGCACAAACTATCACTCCTGCTTTACGACTACCATGACTACGCTTATACTCAGACGTGGGCGACTCATTGTAGGCCATCACAAAACATCCTTCCACTTTAACATTCTCGACCCAGACTTCCACCTCCGAAAGGCAAAGCCACCGGTTTCAAATGAAGTCGAATGTTTACTTCAAACAGCTTTAACACAGTAGAGCCGTTCAACAGGACACAAACAGCCTCAGCAATAAAGAGAGGTTGTGTTTCCAATATGGCCGCCTCCATGCATGGGCTTCAAAACATCCACCAATGGGTGACATCACTGAGCGGACGTCCATATTTTTATGTCAAGACATATTAAGAGGTCCCAGATGAGGCATCGTCCAATCATAATCAAAAGAGAAAAGGCAGAAAGTGTCTTTTTGGCTCATGTGGATGAAAGACAACAACTCCCAGAATGCACAGCACCGCAGGCCACAAACACGAGCAGAAGACCTTCAAAATCCCCCATCGGTTCTTTTCAGCTTTCTACACAGAGCACGTTAGCATAGCTTCCAAACAAGATGGCGGACGTTGCGTTTAGATTCTGGGAGTGAGTTCCAACCCACTGAAAACTTTTCCTGCAAAGTTGAGAGGAAGGTGTGTGTGTGTGTGTGTGTGTGTGTGTGTGTGTGACTGTGTGCGTGTGTGTGTGACTGTGTGTGTAAGTCTGTGTGTGTGTGTGTGTATGTACAAATTTAAATGCTAACTCAGCACAAAAACAAACCTGCTGCTTTAATGGTGTGTGTGTGTGTGTGTGTGTGTGTGTATGTGTGTAGGTGTGTGTGTGTGTGTGTGTGCGTGTGACTGTGTGTGTGTGTATGTGCCTCTGTGTGTGACTGTGTGTGTGTGTGTGACTGTGTGTGTGTGTGTATGTATGTGTGTATGTGTGTAGGTGTGTGTGTGTGTGTGTGTGCGTGTGTGACTGTATGTGTGTGCCTCTGTGTGTGACAGTGTGTGTGTGTGTATGTGTGTGTGTGACTGTGTGTAAGTCTGTGTGTGTGTGTGTGACTGTGTGTGTGTGTGTGTGACTGTGTATGTGACTGTGTGTGTGTATGTATGTGTGTAGGTGTGTGTGTGTGTGCGTGTGTGTGTGCGTGTGTGCGTGTGACTGTGTGTGTGTGTGTGTGTGCCTCTGTGTGTGACTGTGTGTGTGTGTATGTGTGTGTGTGACTGTGTGTAAGTCTGTGTGTGTGTGTGTGTGTGTGTCTCTGTGTGTGACTGTGTGTGTGCGTGTGCGTGACTGTGTATGTGACTGTGTGTGTGTGACTGTGTGTGTGTATTATGAAGGAGAGAAATCAGAGAACCGGTCTGAACAGAAACAGAATCCTCTCTGAAAGTAGAATCAGGATTTCAGAGCGGTGATACGTACCGATGCAGTCCTGATTGTCCACGTAGTGAACCTCGTTGACCCCGAGCCCCTCCTTCTGGTACAGCTCTTGTTCCTGGAATACAAAACCACACATTCATAATGACAATCTATAACGACCCTCGCTGCGGCGGCTTAATGAGGACGCCACACACACACACACACACACACACACACACACACACACACACACACACACACACACACACACACACACACACACACACACACACACACACACACACACACACACACACACACACACACACACACACACACACACACACACACACACACACACACACACACACACACACACACACACACACACACTTTGGGTGAGAGGCGTTCAGGTTCAATCAGACTTCTGACGTTTGGAGGGAAAAGTGAGGAAGTCATTGTGAAAGATCCTCTATGAGACGATGTTCCTCTCCTCTGCGTTTCTAAGAATTCTTTCAGCACTTCAAACACGCTTGGATTAAAATCTGCAGATGATTAGATATCGATCCGAACGCTGCTTTTCTGAAATTGAATTAAAATAACACAACGGTGACATTTCAGACGTCAGCATCATCGGCTGAACAGCGTTTCATTCACTTTTGATTTTCTCAGATACACCAACCCTCCGGACGTTAAGGGTTGAGCACCAGAGCGCCTTCTAGTTCATTATATAAGGACTGTCAGTTAGAAAATATTAGACATGAGCATCATTATTTTCCAAAACAGAGAGTTGCTGTTTTTATCTCTAATGGTTGTTTGGGTGCTGAAGACGTCTCTAAGAGTTTCTCCAGGAAATAAAACACAGATATTAAGAATAATTTTAAAGAGAGCGAGAGAGAGAGAGAGAGCAGCTTTAAATCTTCTTCTAGAGCCCGACCGATAAATCATCCAGCCGATAATATCGGCCGATATCAGCGTATCAAAGTAACTATCAGCATCGGCTAATTTTCATCTCTGGTAAGCGCCGACTTTACTCGATTTATTCTCCAGTCAAACAGCGCTTCATCTGAGTTTCATTGTGTTACACTAGCAGTTCTCTTTCACCAGCAGAGGGCGCTATACGGATTACAACAAACATCATCACTACCCTGACTGCATTTGAGGGATCAACACGATAAATCTGTTTATCTAAATCTGTCTAAAGATCGAACACAGAGGAAGATATCGGCCAATATATCGGTATCAGATGTTGGAGCTGATTATGAAAATAATATGTGGTGTTTTGTGTAAAGGATCCGACGCGGGGATTGACGGTTACTTCTATATAAGGTGGGAACGTTTGTGTCCGGGAAGGTGTTCCACCCGGGAGAGGAAAACGCTAAGCTGTTGCTGCAAAGGTTACAAGCGGGTGTGTTTTTTTGTAATGGGAAGATGAACATGTAGAGCCAATGATCGTAAAATAAACAAATGGCATGTTCAACAAGGCAGGTTGACTTGCTAAGCTAACGTCAAGCTATCGTCAAGCTAACATCAAGCCAACGTCAAGGTAACGTCAAGCCACCATCAAGCTAACGTAAAGCTAGTGTCAAGCCAACGTCAAGCTAACTTCAAACAAACGTCAAGCCAACGTCAAGCCAACGTCAAGCCAACTTCAAACAAACGTCAAGCCAACGTCAAGCTAACTTCAAACAAACGTCAAGCCAACGTCAAGCCAACGTCAAGCCAACGTCAAGCCAACGTCAAGCTAACTTCAAACAAACGTCAAGCCAACGTCAAGCTAGTGTCAAGCCAACGTCAAGCAACTTCAAACAAACGTCAAGCCAACGTCAAGCCAACGTCAAGCCAACGTCAAGCTAACGTCAAGCCAACGTCAAGCCAACGTCAAGCTAACTTCAAACAAACGTCAAGCCAACGTCAAGCCAACGTCAAGCCAACGTCAAGCTAACGTCAAGCCAACGTCAAGCCAACGTCAAGCTAACGTCAAGCCAACGTCAAGGTAACGTCAAGCCAACGTCAAGCCAACGTCAAGCTAACGTCAAGATAACGTCAAGACAACGTCAAGCCAACGTCAAGCTAACGTCAAGGTAACGTCAAGCCAACGTCAAGCTAACGTCAAGGTAACGTCAAGACAATGTCAAGCCAACGTCAAGCCAACGTCAAGCCAACGTCAAGCTAACGTCAAGCCAACGTCAAGCTAACGTCAAGCTAACGTCAAGGTAACGTCAAGCCAACGTCAAGCCAACGTCAAGCTAACGTCAAGGTAACGTCAAGCCAACGTCAAGCCAACGTCAAGCTAACTTCAAACAAACGTCAAGCCAACGTCAAGCCAACGTCATGCCAACGTCAAGCCAACGTCAAGCCAACGTCAAGGTAACGTCAAGCCAACGTCAAGCTAACGTCATGCCAACGTCAAGCCAACGTCAAGCCAACGTCAAGGTAACGTCAAGGTAACGTCAAGCCAACGTCAAGCCAACGTCAAGACAACGTCAAGCCAACGTCAAGCCAACGTCAAGCCAACGTCATGCCAACGTCAAGCCAACGTCAAGCCAACGTCAAGCTAACGTCAAGCTAACATTAGCGCCTCAGTGGTTTAAAGCGTTGGTGTTGCCTCTACAATCGGCATCGGTTCCCAAATCGGTCGGGCCGTGTCTTCTACATCTGAAGGTGTTTTAACAGGAATTATACACAACATGTAATCTTCCATGTTTTTCCTTCCCTGATACGCGCAGCAATCATGGAGAAGCGTACAATCAGAAGGAGGAGGAGAAAAACATCCATTAAAGATCAGAGGTTGGGCTTTAAATCGATACAAAAAGAGCGACACCTACTCTTAGAAAATCACTGTTTACAATGTGCACAGCACTTATAAAAAGCATAAATCAAAGCCGAGACGTTCGCTGTAATTGTGAGATGTTGTGTAAGTGATGTCTAATGGATCCGAGGTGCAAAAGGAAGCAGCTCCGCGACGGCTCTGACCTCTTTCAGGATCCGCTCGTTGAAGAACTGCTGCAGCTTCTCGTTACAGTAGTTGATGCAGAACTGCTCGAAGCTGTTGTGTTCAAAGTACTCTGCAGAAAAACAGAAACAGGAAGTCACAATCAGGAGACAATCTGAAGGCCGGTTTGATCTCAGTGAAATGTGAGACGGCACAAATACTGGCAGACGTCATGATGATGAAAGCTGGTTTGAGGGGACTCCAATTCAGTCTAGAATCGCCACTGACTCCGTTGAAGAATTTTCAACATCATTCAAAGGTGCCATATTCTGAAAAATCCACTTCTACAGTGTTTCTGAACATTTATTTGGGTAACCTGAGTGTCTACTGACCCACAAAATGTGAAATAAACCCATCAAGTCCTTTGTTTGTGGTCTGCATAAGTCTTACAACACAGAGAAAAATGCTCTGTTTCTAATGTGCTCTCCTTGTGATGTCACAGTGGGATTCTGGTAAAAAAAAAAAAGTCCCCTCCCCTGGTATCTGCACCCATGGACTCCACCCCCAGACTAGAACAAAACTTATTCTCTCTACAGAGGAGTGATGTCTACCTGGAAAACTCAGGGGGGGGGGGGTCATTACATTTAAAGAGACACACGCACCAAAACGGAGCGTTCTGAGAGAGCTGGTTTATACAGGGTCACAAACCTCCTCTGATGCTTGATTCATGTTTTATTTTGACCAAAGCACAGCACAGATGTTTCATTTAGACCACAGGGGACTGTTTGAAAAGGTGGAGGAGGGGACTGTTTGAAAAGGTGGAGGAGGACTGTTTGAAAAGGTGGAGGAGGGGACTGTTTGAAAAGGTGGAGGAGGGGGAGGATATGTCCTCTTTAACGGTAATACGATCGTTCCTGTAAAATGAATCTGAAGAAGGACACTCACCAAAGCCAGCGATGTCCAGGACGCCGATGAAGTTAGCGGAGGAGTCGAAGGGGAAGCACTGGTTGACCCGGGTCACCACGTGGTCGAACAGGCGGCTGTAGACGGCCTTAGCCAGGGCGTCCCGAGCGTTGTTGGCCTGCTCCACTTTGAGCGGCACTCTGAAGAAGAAACACACACACAGGGAAGGAAAGTGTTAATACGTTTAAACTGTCAGGGAGGAAACATGTTGATTTTATTTTTCATCCCAGAAATGGGTTAAAAAAAATATTAACCCCTCAGAATAATCGTTTTTACCTCCTACCTGATCAGACATTAAGGAAACATGCTATGTTGAAGTGCTGGCTTCTCTGACAACAATGCAGCAGCCAGTATGTCCTCCTTCTAACTTTAGATTCTGCTCCTGAATGCTCTGGATTTGTTTTTAATGTTTGGGATTAATCTCTCTTAATTCTGCAGTCCAACCCGTCAAGGTCGCTGAAATAATAAATATAACCATAAGTCTGTGTGAGGGGATAAAGTGAGTCCACTTGTTCAGGTTTTATAGAAGAGGAATAACCGAGTTATTGAGTGAAACAGAGAGAGATTGTCTGTGAGCTGTCTTTATGGACGCCGTGCAGACACCATGACCAGCAGCCGCTCTGTGGAGGTATTGTAATTGTTCCAGACTGCGTGTGAGAGTTCGGTTCAACAGAAGAAGACAAAAGGAGTGACCCCATCGCAAGAGGTGAGATAAAAAAAAATGACTCTGCAGCAAGGTGGAAGTTTGTGCTCTCTGGACTTTTTACCTGCAGTGAACTCAAGGACACGTCGGGAAATAACTCCACACGAGTGTCTCTCCTAAAGCCCCCCCAAATAACCACTTCCACAATCCTCCCTCTCTCTCTCCGGTCCACAAATTATCTCCTGTGCACATCCCCTTTTTAAGCCGCATGCAGCTTCACGGGGGACGCCTGATCCCTGCAGGTGCCTCGCTGGTATTTTACAAACACATTAAGCTGTGGGAGGACGACGTACTCAGGAAGGACGGACACCCCCCCCCCCCCCCCCCCCCCCACAAGCTGCAATCTGTTATTTACCGTCACATCTGCAACCTGTGTGTGCTCTCCCATCAGAACACTCTCTCTCTATATGTTCCTATATTCACATATTTCTCATGAATATACGAGTGGATGTTAACAAGGCTCTGACAGCTGTGATTACCTGCAATGTGCTTACAGGCAGGGGAATCTCAACCTATTTATTATTTATTATCTGCTTGTTCATGATTAGTCAACAAACAAAAAGAAAAAGACCATCAGGACCAGCATAGTTTCAATCTACTCAATCACTAAGAAATAACAACATACTCACTGATTATTTGGATGTTAGTAAGAGGTTTTAGATTACGCTCATTCTGTGTTTATTTAATGTGAAGCTACGAGCTAACTGAAGAGCGCCAACATTAGCATGCTAACACAACAATGCAGGACACAGGTGAATGTGGAGAAGGGTGTTGGAGGTGTGTCTCTGGAGGAGGGCGGACGCTTCAGTATGGAGGAGGCGTGGCCTAATAGCAGTTTGTTTTGGTTTCATGCTGGAGCTCAAGGGCGACATCTACTGGATCACCAAGTCGACACATTCTTCCTTTAAATGAATTAATAACACGTTCTCATGAATCCAAAGCCTCAAACCGATGCACGTTTCATTAAATTAAGGTAAAGACATCGTGCTGACAGAAAACAGAACGTAATCATACATTTACTTTTAAGGAGACCGTTTTTAAAATGACAAAGTTCAACGTGCAGAGTCGGCCGGCAAAACATGGATTCATCACTCTGGAACTGGAAGTGGTTGAGCTTGAAAATGTAAACTCTTTAAACTACATCTTAAAAACCTTCTGTGTCCTGTGCAGTAGAAACTTAAAACTTGTTTTTTTTTTTACCTTTTCATATTCAACATATGTGCAGATGTATACATGGAAGTTATTTCTCTGGCCGCTGTAACTGACATTATTCAGCAGTCAGACAAAAGTTACACCCACACAGCGGGTGACTTGACAACCCTCCTACAGCTCTTCACCTTCACCCTCGCCCTCTCTCTGCACCACCTGCCATGTTTAATTCATGCCGCCGCCGCCGCCTCCGAGACGAAAGCACAGCCGCCAGAGGTTTTCATACTGCAGTGAGGCCCTCTCATTTAAAAAACCAAGAGGTCTAAATGCCAGGGCAGCATAATGTCAGAACACTAATCGTACAAGTAGCCTAATATGTATTCCCCGTGAGCCTCTGCGGCGGGAGTGTTTTTCTCCTCTCTCTCCGACACTCTCGCTCTCTCTTGCTCTGTTATTACTGATGTCACTTTGTGGAGAAGTCGTGCTCTCTGAAGACGCCTGCTGGTCTGCAGCTGCTCCCCAAAATACACCAAACAGTGAAAAAGGTTGATTTCATTTGAATGCACATTTGCAACATCACCTGAATGTCTGAAAAATATGAAGACACACAGAAGTTTGGTGCATAAATATCCTGAATCTGTCCTGTTGTACATCGTTACACGGCACCTGTAGTAGAGGAAATACTCAGATTTCTACCAGCTGCAGAACTACAGTTACACACTACGACTTTTAGAGAAGTATCAGAAGTAAAGACCATACTTGTTTTGCAAGAAGACCCAATTCAGAATAATTTTATTAGAATGCATTCATGTGCATTCCTGAAATGTCTGAACAAGAGATGCTGTGAGCGATTAATCAACTTCACAACAGAAGTCGTCACCCTCACT